AAAAAAAAAATGCAAAAACAAAAAGAGAAGAAGAAAAAGAAAGAAAGAAAGAAAGAAAGAAAGAAAGAAAGAAAGAAAGAAAGAACTAGAATGAGATTTTTTGAATAACTAATGGCATATTGGTATGATGGAATGGCATGGGAATGAAATGATCATTTTCTTAATCATGGGATTGGTATATTTTTTAGAAAGAATGACCATTCCAATAGAATTGCAAAACCCGTCTCCATGGGATTAGTCATAGCTGCCTCGTTTAGGATTTAGTTTTTTTTTAAAAAAAAAAAAATTAACAAATAACAATATAAAAAAATATATGATATAGATCAAGATTAAATTATCCTAAATAAAATAATATTAAAAAAAATTCAAATTATTAGTTAAAAACAATTCTTTATTTATTATTTATATTTTAATTAGATATATTAAATAAGTATATAAAAATAAAACTCACAAAAAGTGCATTTATAAATAGGTTAGGAATATCTTATTTTATTTTTATATAAGCATAAATATTATATATTTATTCATAAATTGAATTATGTTATAAAAAAAATTATTTCAGACCACATATGCTTATATCTTATAGGGGCCTATACAATTTGTATGTTAATCTGTACATAATTACATAATTCACTTATGTAAGATAATATTAACAATACAAAAATATATTTATTAAAAAATACTATATTTTTTAAAATAAAATAATTTTAGTATTATCCTACATAAGAAAATAACATTAATATAAAAATTATTTATTTTATAAAATAGTGATAAATGATAATATAGGATGATAATGTCATTTCATTCAGGTCTTCCTTCTGCATACCAAGCACATCAACGAAAAAACTTGTTTCTTTCCTTTCCCATAATCTTTACATTCTTCAATTCATTCCATTCTTATCAAATTTCATTCCATTATACAAATCATGTCATGTTTATAGTTCATGACTAGAAGTAACTGATACCATTAAGGGTCCAAGTAAAGCAATCAGATAAAAGTAGAACTTCCAACAAGATGAAGCCCGTCCTAACTATATCAAATGGTCCTTTCAGTTAAGTTGTATTTTTCATTTTTTATTTTCGAAAAACAGTGACAATTAATAGTTTCTATAACTAAGACTAAAGCTTTATGGATGACTTGTTTAAAAAAGGTAACAACAAACTTCACGCTACCACATACCCATTGTCGACCTGCAGTCTTGGAGCTGTGGTGGCAGTCATAAAATATTGTCCATCTGGCGACCATTCACTTGACACAGATAATTCAGCTTTTGTTTCTCCTAATTTCTTCTTTTCCAAATAATCCCAGAAAGCCTAAACAAGAGAAATAAATAAATATAATGGATGCATAGTGCCCAGTAAAACTAAAACTGATAAAAGCACTTTATCATCTAAGGTAAAATGAGATGCATACGGGGAAAATGACTAGGAAACAAATTTCAATGGGAAGTTTACTAGAAGTCCTTCAGTTTCCAGGAAAAAATTCTTTCCATCTTTACTGCATCCCGTTCATCAGAAATGCAACTCATTTAATCTATAAACTTTATTTTCAAACCTACACATTTTTCACATGCGCTCACACATCTCCTGAACCAACTTCAGGATGCACCTACATCTGTACACTTTACAGTACAGAATTATTTTTCGTTACTAAACCTATATACTGACTCATTAATATTACACATACTTTCCACTGTTCCCCAAAACACTGACTATCTTCAATGCCAAGAAAAATCATGTCAAATAGTAAAATACCCACCCACCTGTGCACATTGCAATTGAGGAGTTAATTTCTTTGACTAACAGTAATACACAATGACAAAAAGAGTAACAATATTTGACTAAGTTATACTAAAAGCAACATGTTGCAATTTTGAAATTTCTATGTAAGTTATTCGACTCCAAATGTCAACCATCCTACTCGTTTTTAGTGTGTTACGCCAGTACGTGAATCTTACCAAATCCTGAATTATGAAAGTATAGATTGAAACAGAATACACAATAATACCCATGGAGCTCACTGTCACGACTTCCATAGTTTTTTTATCATGCTTATTTCGTATATCTTGGCAAATTAAAAGCCTGAATAGAAGTAAAGAACATAATCTTCCAGATGCTCAAGAAAATATTTTTAGAGATTGGCATGATTGTGCTAAGCTAGCATCAAAATAAAGAACTTAAAACAAGTTAGAAAGCAAATCACGTAAGTGCACTAATAATATAGACAAATGGGAGAAAATAAAATTAAAATGGGAAAATGAAAGGAGTAAGATGCTGATCGAAATTGGACAAATAATTGAGAACTTGTTGCGGAAAGATTATCAGTATCAGACAATGGAATAAAAAGATTAAGTGATAAAGAATGAACCATGTGACCAGGTAGATTCCCAAACCCTGCCAAACATATAACTGTACAATATTTTAAGGACAAACAAATATAAGCAACCAGGGACAGGGAGGGAGAGAGAGAATAGCAAATATCATTAGTTTATGAAAGGATACATTTTCCTTTCGGGTTCCACCTAATTGTATTGTATGGGCCAGTCCCAAGCTCTAGTAATGGATTGCACTTCTTGTCAAATATCGTCGCCATTGCAGGCATAACTGAACTAGGTCAAGGAAAAGAAATAGCGTAGACCAAAAAAAANAAAAAAAAAAAAAAAAAAAAAACAGTCGATTGAAAAAATGAAGTAGAACATGAATATCAATCTATATATTAAGAAATATATTCAAGGAAATAATTAATATCTGAAGGATCGAGGATCTCGTTTCTTCTTCTTTCAGTGTTACATGAATAATCACTTCCTTTAGGCACGTTTACATGAATAATCATATCCTGTGTGCTTTTTACATCCACTTCCTTTAGGCGCGTTTGCATCTAGAATGTTAAAAGTCCATCACAAAACTCCAGGTAGGTAAAAAGAAAGTGTGCGTGTATTTGGGGGGGGAGGAAAAAATAATAGCCTTAGTCTCTCTGGCATTGACAAACATAATGAAGAGACTGCTAGTTTAACATTTTCTGTTTGCACTAAAAGATGACCATCTCTTCATATCCTCATGCTATACCACTTGTTGAAATCACACCTCAACTTGGTGAGAGAAGAAAATAAGGATACATCCATAAACTACAGCAAATTCTTTTCCGGCAGACGACCATTGAACATCATGTACAGGCCCTTCCTTACCTGCCAAAGTATGCAAGAACAATATGCTGAATATGAATATTACTAAACCATTAACATTGCATTAGATTGTTGACTCAGTGGAGAAGAATTATAATACATTTAACTTGTCAAATCATATGAAAAGAAAAAAAGGAAAGAGCAGGCACTTACGGAGTGGCACGATTCCTTCATAAGATGCATCTGTCGTCAGATAATTTAACTTCGTTTCTCCGTAGTAACTCTGATTTGTTTTATCGACGTCCGACTGCACAACAACCAAGATCCCAGTGGAACCATAGTTCCAATTCAATTGTACTGATGAACACCTGAAGAAACTTTTCCGAGCAACAGGTTGACTCTGTAACTCCTTTGCACAAGAAAATATCTGAACATTCCCTGGCATCCCCTACACAAACAATTCAATGAGATAATGTATAATTACGTTCTATTCTGTGAAGTGGCAAACGCCAAACAGCAAGTTATGTCAATTCAGCAGGTTGTATCGGAAAACAGAAAGGTTAAAGAGTAACACCATCATGTCTTATTACATTTTCATTCAACATCCAATTTTCAGCAACTTCATAGGCTTACAATAGTTGTGTTAAACCTCAAGCTAGTAAACTCAAAGGACACATTTCATTCCTTCAAAGATCCACCAGTACTATAATTACAATCTACAAAAGCGCATTCCTTTTGTTCTTTGGGATTGAACTAACCAATGCCTTGACAAAAGTTCACGGCTAAATTATTAAATCTAAGTAAGTTCACAAGGGTCAACATGAATGTATTGTAATCTTGCGACTGACGCAGTCGAATTTTGGTGACAACGGCACAGATAATTAACTAATCAAAGCATCAATGAGAATGTAAACAATGAATGAATACAATCAAGTTTTAGAGCGAAAAGATCTTTGACAAAGTTGTAGAATTTAACCTTCGATTCTGGAACAAACGAGGCAAAGTACGACCCAGGATTCCTTGAAAGTTCAAAAGCAGCAATTCCAGGCACTCTAAACCTATGAACAATCCCTTTGGATAAATCTTTAGGGTCAAAGAATTGCACTTCATTTGTCGCCAATCGGCACGCTACAGCTTCATCAGAGCTAAACCGAATTGCCGGCCTACAAAAGAAGAAAAAAAGAAAGGGAAAAAACAAATATTAGCCAAAATTGGTTTCCAATTACTCCATAACCAAAAGTTAGCCCTCGAGAAGTTTTACCATGTGGCTTTAGTCATGTTCTTCTGAAACATTTGATAAACCGATTCGCCATTGTCCACCTTCCACAAAGCCACATTTTTATCCTGCGGACCAGTAGACTTCTGAAAGGTCTGAATGTAAGTCCCACATGGGGATATACTGGCGGCAAGAACATTGGGCACTTGCAAAGACCTTATTTCGACCAAGCTCCTCGAGTCGTAGATGCTGACGACAGAATCCGATCGAACAACCATGAGTCTCGATCCATCCTCGCTGAACTTTGTGGTCGTACACGGTATTTGGCCGAGCTTCACGCGCGGCTCGCCATTGATGAAGGGTGGGCCGTTCCAAATAGAAAAACCCTCGGGACCTCTTACTAATATGTCCAAGGATGGTGAAGAGTCTGCAGCTACAGCCATTTGAGGAATCGTAAGAAAGGATGGCCGGAAATTGAAGTCGGATTAAATTTACAGTGGGAGATGGAGCCCTAAAATGTAGCAGAATTTGTAAACCATAAACACCCACGAGTACAATTAGGTACGTCGAAAACGGCCCCCACGGGCCATCCCAACCCACATTTGAGCCCGTTTGTTCTTATCCCCAACTCACCAACTCAACTGAATAATTAAAAACTATTTACTTCTCATCCACCTTACAATTTAATTTATTTTTATCCTTAACCAAACTGAACTTAAATATTTATTTTATTTTAATTTATTTAAAATTATAATTTAATTTCAAAATGTATAAAGTGTGGTCTCTATTTGTAAAAAATGAAAAAATACGAATATTAATATCATTTTTATTTTTTTAAAATAAAAAAATACACTTATTCAATCCAAATGGGACAAGTGTCCCATTCTCACACACTACACAGGTCGCGATCCAAAGTCACAATGTGACCTGGGTCGCTCAATTTTCACAAACTTTCCTTTTTTTTATTTTTTTAATTTTTTGTGTTCTTGTTCTTAATTGGTGACCGATAAAGTCAGTCTTAGTCTGCACCCACGCTGCGGGCTGGCCCACCCTAACAGAACAAAATATGCTAGGTAGCGGAAAATACCTAGACAAAGGGAGTTTTTTTTTTTTTTTNNNTTTTTGTCTTTTTTTCCTCCATCAGACAAAGGGAGTTTGTTCATTTGCCATCTATGTTTAGTTCATACTTAAAATCTAAAATCAATTATAATTAATTTTTATTATCTTTAATATTATCAATAAAAGTGAAGAGAAAAATTACCTAACGTACTGCTAAATATTTTTTTATTACATATTTACAGCTCATATATTTCATTAGCAAAATGAAATCTATCATATTTATTTGCATACTAGTACAATACTCGTGTACTATACAAGTACTTGTTAAAAAAATTATATTTAAATAAAATAATAATAACAACAAAAATTGTTTTAGTTTTAATTTTTTTTTTTCAAAAGATGTATTATTTTTTATATATTTATATTTAATTTAACATTTAATGAATATTAATATGCAACTTAATATTAATTATAACTGTTGATACCCAATTTGGCTCATATTAAATAAATGGTAAGTAATATAATATATAGCGACCCGATAACCAAGGAGCCGAAAATACATGAATACACAAACAGGTTTTCGA